TTACACACTCACAGGGGGCGGAGCCTGGGCAGCCCGAAGCCGCGACATGGAGCCTGCACGTTATCGGCCCCGGATCTGGCAGGGGCTCGCCGCGCCCGCCTGCGCCGCTCCGGACCCCCCTCTGTCAAAATCAGCTGGTGGGAGCGGCCGCAGAGACGGGGACAGGGGCCCGAACCCGAGGGGCAGCTGCAGGGATGCGGGCGGGAGGCTCGGACCCAGGCTCGGAGAAGGGGACCCCCCCTCTCTGAACCCCCTCCCACTCCCACCAGGGGAGTTACTGTTTGGAACCAGAAAAGAGCGCACTAACTGCTGCGGGGATCGAGGTCGACCCCGCACTGCCCAGGGAGTCTCCTCCGGCTCCCGAGCACTGAAGCAAACTTTGGCGGCCCCGAGCATCCCTCGAGCCCGCAGCGCAGAGCACGCGGGGCCGGGAAGGAGAAGGCGGTCACCTTCACCGTCCCCGCGGCACCGCGTGCCCGCACCCAGGCCCGCCAGGCATGCCGCAGTGCCGTGCCCGGCTGCGGGGCGCGGCGCGCACCTAGTAGGTCCGCGACCTCCGGGCCCCGGATTCCGTGGGCTGCGAGGCGAGGCAGTAGCGACTGTCCCTGTGTGAACTATGGGTTCGGGATTAGGACGCTGGGAAAGTCGGCTGCACTATCACCTTCCCCGCACAGCCGCCACGTGCCTGGGGCCAGCGACTTCTGCTCTTTCCTCCTCTGGAAAATGGGAAAGCCACGGGGTACGTGCCCACTGGCCCACCCACCGGCTGCCTGTCTTCCTTCTGGCGGGAGAATCTGCTCTCTCCACGTGCAGCCTCCTCCTTCCCTTCAACCTCCAATGCTGGTCCAGGACAGGGTGCATCCCTTTAGCTAATGCCCTCAGGGAAGGCTTCCTGGCCTCCGAAGGGAGAAGGGGTGTCAGAAGGGGCGGGACCCGGTTCTGGCATTTCAGGAGCAGTTGTACTCTAGAGTCCCAGACATCTGGCTCGCCTTCTTCGGGTTATTATACAGAGGGGATCGTATTGGCACATTATTGAAATCCTAAGGCTAGGACTCTTAGGAAGAGCGGTAGACTGAGCTTTGATAGAGCAGGGTGCCTGTTCTGATCCTATCTGTGTGACTCTGAGCAAAGTCTCTTCCCCAAGGCTCATTTTCTTCATCCCTAAAAAGAGAGACTTGATCCAGCTGCCATCTGGCTCTTGCCACTCTGGCCATTCTCCTTCCTGTTCTCTAATACTATCTCATATTCTCAAAATCGTCCAAATAGCTCTGCTTTACTTTTTTTTTTTTTTTTCCAGGAGAAACGGAGGCACTGAGACTGGGTACTTTGCTCAAGGTGTCACGTTTCTCCTCGAGGGGAAACTAGACAGGAACCTAGAATCAGGGAAGCCCATTTGCGACTAAATGAAGTAGAAGGTGCTACAGCTTCAAGAAGTGGCTGCCTTCAGAATCTGAACTTGAAGGGGCCCAGAGTCTCACCTCTTCTGCAATCTTTGTATGAGAAAAGAGCACCCAGTGAGGCTTTGCTCTAATGCTTCCTTATTTTGCATAAAACCAAGTTCTTAACAAATACTGGTTGACTGCAAATCAACCAACATAGCAGTCAAGGGAAGACTGCCTTTCCAATTGCCTTATCAGTTTGGCTTCTTGTAAACTCCTATGGTCAAAGCCTCCACCGCAGAAGAGCTATTGGCAAAAGTGGTGCAGGGGATTTTCAAATGATCTCTGTGGCTTGTTGATTCGTTGGCGTTCCAGTTTTCAGCCCTCACCCATGAGCCCTTGAGGTGGCAGGGACCGCCCTGCTCCGATTTGTGGCCCCCAACCTTTGTGCCCTCAGTAAATGATTCTAAAATTGGATTTGATTGCTAATAATGATTGTTGCCAGGGCTAGTGCTTGATCTGCTAGAAAATCCTTAGAGGAAAACCAGAACATCCACAATTAACATTTAAATGTGGTGATTATGGTCACTTTGTATTCACTTTTCTCACCAGATTATATTGACTGTGTGGAAAGACAAAAAAAAAAATAATAATAATACTGTGCTGGGTAAATAAATTTCCAACAAAAATCAAGCTGCTCCTTTAAGAATCCCAGACCCCCATCACCCCACTGGTGCACTTTCTTCCCAATCAGCAGGAGGACCAAGCAGAAGCAGAAGGAGCCAGCGAGAGGCAGCCCTCCGAACAGAAGCGCCTGCGGGAAGGAGAGAAGAGACAAGTGGTGCCTGCTGCTTTCTCTTCCCGAGAGCAAAACCAGGAGGGAAGGCTGGGCTGGGCAGAAGGGACTGGCACTCCCAGCCACCCTCCTGGAACAGGGAGGACGCTGAGAGAGGCAGCATCAAAGGGGCCGGCCAGCCTGCCCAGGCCCAGCACTCAGCGCTCAGTGTCAGCCTCAGCTTCCAGGCAGGGTAGCAGCCTTGCCTGCCTTCTCTCTTCCTCCTCCTCCTCCTGACCATCTCAGGCTCTGATGGGGCCCCATAGCCTTAGAACCGAGCTCTTTAGTGGACCTTCAGATGTGTCTCCAAGCCAAGCCTCCTCCAGCACGCAAGCGGGAGGAAATGGAAAGCAGGTTACAGGGAGGGCAGTAGCAATAGAAAGTACAAATTCAGAGCCAACTGGGGCTGTCCTACCGGCAGCTCAGCCGTCTAGTCCCTTCGGTCAGGTTGCTGTCCTCCCATTCCACTCCCTGGGGTACCTCAGCCAAGGTGGAAGATTCCTCTGCGCCAGGCTGTTGTCCTGGCTTTGCCTGGCAAAGCCCCTCTCTGATCTGGCTACAAAGCTCGGAGTTGGGAGTTTGGCTCAACTTCCAGAAGTCGCAGCCTCTCCCCTTGGGCCCTCCCCTCTCTGTTGGCTTCTCCCACTCTCTCTGACTGGGCCCCCTCCACACCTCACCAATCCCCCCATATTCAGAAACCCTGACCCTAAGAACATCCTGGGAGGACCGCTGGCCCAAGAGAACAGAATCAAAACTAAGACTTCATGACTCAAGGAGACTCGATGGGTCTTTATCTCTTGAGGTAAAACCAGAAATCATTTTTTAAGAGGCTTGATTGTATAGAAATGCTGATTCTCCGACTTTCTAAAGTGAGATTTTTGACTTGAATTCCTTCTAAACGAGTTTAATTTGGAGTCTCCAGGTACTAATCTTCATTTCAAAGAACTTGAAATCTTCCATTCTTACAGCTGCAGTAAAGGCAGGATCACGCAGGCTCTGGCAGATAGTGTCTACAATTAAGATTAATTTAAGAAAGTTTCACTGTGAATGTCAGTTCCGAGAAATGAACAAATCGACAGCGTGTGATACATGTGTCATCCTGTCACACCTCAGATTTCCACTTAAAACATTAAGCACTTCTTTCTGACCTGGTGTGCAATCAGGCTGAGTTACTCTCTAGGAGGAAATTCTGGTCCAGGTAACAGCTCATCTGAGGAGGCGTGCTTGAAAGAATTCCAAATTCCATGGGGTCCATTTTGGGAGGCATCACCTTCCACTCCTGTGGCTGGTGCATTTCAACCCTTTCTAACTTCAGAATATCTGTACCTGTTTGGCAGTGGCCCCCAAAACTGTAAGGTTCATGACAGGAGGACCTAGGTCAGTGTCATCAAAGCCTAGCACAAGACCGGACTCGTAGCAAGTCCCTTCAGGGTCAAGCCCACCAGTCTCCGGGAAGGTGGCGATCCCAGAAGGTGATTTGAAATTAGATCAGGACAATTCTCTGAACTGCTGGTTCTACCACTTTGTCCTGTGGATCTCAGTCATGTGTTGCAATTGCAAGTCCCTACTCTTGGGCTTTCTGATGATCGTAGACAATGAACCCATTTCAGAGATCTTCCAAAGTCCCAGGCTCTGGGTTCTTACTGGGTCCTAAGTATCAAATACCACATAACTTTACATCAATCCCTGTTTAATTAGGTGTACAGTATTGCAGATGATGCTATTAGGACTTTATATGGGACAGTCCTGTGACTCCTTGTACATATTTAGCCTAAAAATAAAGAGATGATGTCGACTCAGCCTTTATTACGGTACCAGTAGCTGTGCTGAGCATTTTACGTACATTATTTCGTTTACTCTGCACCATGATTCTCTGAAGTAGGCACTGCTATTATCTACTACATATCTTGCAAGAGGAAACCGAGGCTCTCAGAGGCTGAGGACTTGCCCAGAGTTGCAGAGCTCGTAAGTGCCATAGCCAGGCTTTGTCCCCAAGTTTCTTTGCTGCCAAAGCTTGGGTCCTCATCTGTGCTGCCCCAACAGCCTCCATTCTGCATTCACAAAGGGTTTCCTCTCACTGTGGCCGCAGAGATGGAGGCAAGGAAGGAACCCTTATCTCCGTTTGACAGTTGGCGGAACAGGTTAAGTGACTTTGCCAAGATCATACGGTGGGACAGCTGAGCAACTAAAGCTAAGACCCAGTCATCTAGGCTCCAAATCCAGCATGCGCTCTACCCACCACATTACTGTTTATAGTCCCAGGGCCACTCCCAGGAACTCTAACACCCTGGGACTTTGGGACTGCAATGGCATCAGTTAACTGTGGGATTTAAAAAAAAAAAAATTCTCATGGTGCAATTTCCCTGATCTCAACTGTGGCTGAACTGGGGGAAGGCAG